TCTACTTTATAGTCTCCATTAACTGTACATATGGGTCTCTAAGACTAGTCAATGGTTCTACCGAGAGAGAGGGAAGGCCAGAGGTTTGTTGGAATGGAATTGATTGGATTCCATTGTCCAGTACGTGGTCCAGCAGTAACCTACGGATTGCATGTAACACATTGGGCTTTGGTGCAATGGGTAAGTGTATGACACTCCTACAGTAATGTAGTCAATATAATTTGCTGTTTAAAATTCAATATTCCTTTATAGGTGCAAATGTTACTACTTTTGCTAATAAAAGTGCAAACTTGTCCATAAGGATGAGTTGCTATGGAAGGGTGTCATTGTATGATTGTGATTATAGTCTAGTGAGGAATGCAAGGCCAGTTCAGTATAATACTGGCATTAGTTGTCCTGCTCCAAGTAAGCACACCAATTCATGTACATGTACATGTATGTACAGCATATATATGTACGTTAATTGCTATTGTCATTCATTTTTTATTGTTTTGTCTGAGTCTTTTAGTCGAATTAACAATGATTGTACAATAAAGCAATAACAGATTATCAAATTTTAATGCACAGTGTATGTGCACTTGAAAGGCTGCATGTCTTATAAATTATTATTTTTAGTAATTTTAATAATTAATAATGATTCTATTAATATTAATTAATTTTAAATAATAAAATATAATTTTAATTTTTAAAGCTACATGCTATTCTTACTTTCTGTTTAGTGTCTAATTGTAGTGATGGTGATATTCGTTTGACTGGAGGGGCCTCAGAGTTAGAAGGAAGATTGGAGATATGCTATGGTAAAACCTGGGGAACTATCAATGATTTTGGAGTGATAGCACTTGAGTCTGCTGTTGTATGCCGTCAGTTGGGTTTCTCTGATCAAGGTTAGTGGGATATTGTAAAGTGTAAAAGGCAATTCTAAATTTTTATAATTTTTTATACATGTACTTATATTGTGTAGAAAGTTTGAACTGATTTAGAGTTGCTTCAAAATTGGGCCAAAACCCCTGTACTGTAGTAGTACAGGGTCTTGGGCCAAATTTTATCAAAATTGACAAGGAAAAAATTCTCCATTTTTATAATTTTTCCTGATGCATATATATGTACTTATATTGTGTAGAAAGTTTGAACTGATTATGATCAAAATTGGATTTGTTATAGAATTTTTAATGTTGCTAAAAAAATGGGGTCGGATTCCTTCTGTCAAAATGGCTACGAGGAAATTCTCAATTTCTTATTGCTTTACTAATGATGTATACAAGAGAAATATTGACAATATTTTTCGTTTATAGATAGCCGTATTTACACCAGTGACATCTTTGGAGGTGATACACTTCCAGTTGCCTTTGATTATTTCGTATGCCAGGGAGATGAGGAGAGAGTCTGGGACTGCTCACTGCGTTACTACGGCTTTTTCTTCTTCTTTTATGATCCTATTAGTATACGATGCCAGCCCAAAGGTAAATTAGTGTGTGTGCATAATAAAATTTCAATTTTTTATTCATTTTATTGTAAAATTGTTGTGCTATACATGTATGTGTTTATTTTCAAGCATATTAGACTATAGCAGTGCTTGTACTTGATAATAATTATTTATTTCCTCCATTAAAAGTATATTTAGTGATAGAATTATTTTTGCCTTTAAAGGAATCAACTCTACCTCTCCTCCTATCCCATCCTCAACTTCTCCTCCATTAATGAGTACCACAATGACCTCGAGAATAACTTCCACTGCCATGTCAACCACATCAGGGATCCCCACATCTTCTAAAATTATGAGCACTAGGCCTACACCATCAAGAACATCCAGTACTATTATACAACAATCTTCCAGTACTTTACAACAATCTTCCAGTGCTATACAACAATCTTCCAGTGTTTCTTCATCTGCTACTAAGAGTGAATATGTATCTTCTTCTTCAACTCCACCACTGGTTGAGCCAACAAATGTTGGGCAAATATCTCTTACTGCTACTATCAGTGGAGGAGAAATAACTGCAGGAAACGTACGCATAAGAGAAATATTACTTCTTTTTTTCTCTCTTTTTTTTACACGGTTACTTTATTGATCTTTTTTCTATTTTTCTTTCTCTTTTTCTCTGCAGCTTGACCAGGATGCTTTCAAAAATGCTGTTGCCTTGTCTCTAAACAGTTACTGCGCAAAACAAGAGTGCTCCTCTAGAAAGAGGTAAAAAAAAGCAACAAGAATTAATTTTAAAAGTACATTATTTTTTGCAGAGATTCTGACAATGAATTCCAGAATATTGATAGCGATAATGTATATATCAAAGAGGTAAAGGATATTGGAGGTGGCCGGATGACTATTGAGTTTTATGTGATGGTTAGAAGTGGTGTTGGATATGATCCTGATACTTTAGAGGATGCCATTAAAGTGAGTAGACATGTTTTCTTTACAAATGGGGCAAAGCCTGTTAAATTTATGCCCATGCGTGTACATGACATTACTTCCATTCAAAAAACATTTATTACAAAATATAGTATATTTTGCAAAAAAATTACACAATAATATTTCTAGTTCATCTATTATCAATAAATATAACTCTATAAATATTAATTTCTACTATCCTTATTGTTATTATAGGATGGAATAGATAATGGTGTATTTAGACGTGCTGGTTTCACCACTATGACTGTACAAAAGACTAGTACCACAACAGTAGCAACTCCTGGAAATACTTCTAGATCATCAGGTCTCTCTGCTGGTGCTTCTGCTGGTCTTGCCCTTGGAATCATCATCCTTCTTATAGTGATTGGTGTAGTTGTGGCTGTCTTAGTTATAATATGGTTAGATTTACACTCATGATATAATTGC